CTTGTGATTTTCAAAAATAATAAATAAGGTCTCCTATTATTTGAAATTTTAACATTAAAACCTTTATCAGATGCAGTTGAGTTGATGCAATAATCCATTTAAGATTTCAAATTCGTTTCCAATTTTAAAAGATTAAAAAAATACAACTTTACTTGTATAAGTAGTCTTCTTGTGGTATAAAAATAATTTTATTCGCCAATTATAAAATGTAACAATACATTAGTAAAAATATGTATACATAGTGTATCGCAGAAAGTATGCTGTATTTGATCTGTATATTACGCGAGCTTTGCGTGTACGAGTAGCAGTGTTGCCGTTTAGCGCATAATTTGAATTGGTGGCGGATAATTTTCTCACTCTAAAAATTGGATAATTGGAACATACCAACAACATACAACATTAAATAAAGTGCTGATAAATTCACTTTTCCAAAATAGAGAAAACATCGAAGTCATTTTCCAAGGGACAGTTTGTTAAAGAGTGCCCAGTAGACGTTGCAGAACTTTTGTATCCAGAAAAGAAGAAAGAGTTTGAGAAAGTGAGCTTATCGCGACGAGAGTTTGAGAAAGTGAGCTTATCGCGACGTACCGTCGTACGGGTATATATGAAACGAATTTTAACTATTTTTGTGTATATATATTATGCCAAGGAAAGTTTTTGGAAAAAAACATAGGATTTTTTTAATCTTCTTTTTTTTTATAAAAAAAACAGCGTTTCATATAACACGCTATATGGGGATATATGGAACAATTAAAAATTTTAATGGAAATGTTATGTATTCTGGCAATCGTTTCATATATACGTGTCTATCAGCATGTATGAAACAATAAAAAAATATGGTTACACTTAAAAATATCAAGCAAATTCCAGACTATCATCAAATTGGCTTTTTTATTGAAAAAAATTAACACCTGTATTCTGTTGGTAAAAAATTAACAAAAAAAAGTGACTTTAGAGTCTATGCCTAAATATAAAAAAATGAAATAGTTAAAATTAAAAAACATCAACGTATTGCAGGCTGAGATAGCCGAAACTTAATTGCTTCCAATGTCACCTGTGCCGTGTCTAAAACAGATGGAAAAACAAAACTATCTCTTCTTCCCGTATGCATTCGCAAACAGTAACCTTCAATTGTTTTTTTGTTTAATTTAATAACGTGTGCGACGTATTCCTTCACACATTGTTTTTTTGTGTTTTTATTATATGTAAAATCAACTGTATATTATATGTAAAATTTTTCGCCAACTAATTTTCAAGGGCCGAAGAAATGCTACATTTAGCGGTTGGCAGATGTGTGTACTATTTGTTGGAAAAAAAAACGAAATCAGTGTTGTTGTTTTCACACTCTTTTAAAAAATTAAACATTAGGTGAGTCCCTAAATTATCGCCTAAAATAACTTTCTTTCCTTCTTTTCGTTTCAAATATGGGAGCGCTATTTTCATAAACCAATCTCTGAATGTGTCGAAGTCAAACCATCCGGACTCAGTTCGATTGTACCTTGTTCCGTCGGGACCCCCCTTCCACCCAATCTGGGTATAAATATTTGGCCTTGTAAATAATGTATAATGGGAGCAAACTTCCGTCACCTGTTACACAAAACATAAGTGAAGTTGAACTTTTCGATGAGTCCATTATTCGACTGGCATGTTTTGTTCCTCGGCGTACAATAACTTTTTCTTTACCTGGATTATCACTAGGATTTGTCTCATCATAGTTTAATATATTGCTGGGGGAAACTCCTTCCAGTGTATTTTTTAAGTGTCGAAAATGTTCACGAATTGTTTTAGGACCCACTTCTGCTCGGAATCTTTTAATATTTTCACAGTTTCTTTTCAACAAACATTCATGCCTTTTGAGGAAGCTTGTACACCAGTCTTTTCCTGGGCGATTCTCTTTAAAACTAGGATTTTTCACACCCTTTCGGTTTAAATACTGCTCAACAAAATCTTGTAATCTTCTCTCAGTAAAAGGCATCATAAAGTCAGCAGCTGTTTCCAATGCACTCTTTATTGCCCTCTCTTCTAAAAAACTCAACGCTGTTGGTCTACCCAACTTATCCCCATGCACTCCTCTGTATTTTTTATACAGTGTGGCTTTTGGCACACCGTGTCTTTCCACCGCTTGACCAAATGAAAGTCCATTTTCTACAACATCTCTCAAAGCGTCTTCCATTTTATCAACATTGTAATCTGTTCCCAGCACATGAATATGTTTTCTAGGCATATTTCGTTCGTTTCGTATAACCCTGAAAAATACATTTTTTTTATATTTTCAGTTTTTCGAAAATAGATCAAAATTATAAATACTTCGTGCATAAATATATAGTTATGAGCATAAAGAAAAATAAATTTCATTATATCACACATACTTTTCTATTAGTTTATTTAGTATTTAGAAGTTTTTACAACATACTTAAATATTTGAATAAAACAATACTTAGTTATTAAATATTAACAATTAGTGATGCCGCGAGATGAGAGATTCTCGTCTCTCGTCTCGTCTTGTCTCGTCCCGAACGAGACATTGACGGAAACAGGAATCTGAATGAAAATTTAATACATTTTCTGCAAGACGGGAGCACCACCCCACTACGTTCTTCCAGTCAGGCAATTTTTGAATGACGCTTTTCTGGGTCAATGGATTGGACGAAGAAGTCCAATCGAATGGCCGGCGAGATCTCCCGATCCAACACCTCTTGACTTTTTTCTCTAGGGACATTTGAAATCCATCGTATTTAAAACAAAACCGGATTCAATAGAAGATCTTCGGCAACGAATTATTACGGAATGCAGCAATATTCCAAGAGAAGTGTTCCATAATGTTAGAACAGAATTTGAGAATCGATTATACTATTGTTTAGCATAAAATGGAATGTATTTTGAACATCTAATCAAATAAAATATCATTAAATTTTTTTATTCGAATTTTTTGTTTTTCTTACTGTATTACTGTTTATATTTATTTTATATAAAATTTATTTATCATATAACCTTAACAGTTAGGCAATTCCGCTATTTATTTAATACTATTTTGATAACAGTTCAGAGAAAAACGAATTTTCGATTTTCAGATTTTTAAATTTTTTCGATTTTTCGATTTTTTGATTTTTCGATTTTTCGATTTTTCGATTTTTCGATTTTTCGATTTTTCGATTTTTCGATTTTTTGATTTTTCGATTTTTCGATTTTTCGATTTTTCGATTTTTCGATTTTTCGATTTTTCGATTTTTCGATTTTTCGATTTTTCGATTTTTCGATTTTTCAATTTTTTTTATTTTTCGATTTTCTTTTATTGAATATTTATTTAATTTAATTAATATTGTTTAACGCCGCACCGCTGTGCCGGTCGGAGTGGGGGGTGTTAGGTTTTTTTTTCGTTACGGTGTTACGAAATTTCTTGATTCGGTCTCCGCGCTCAAAGCCCACGATAAAAGCTATGCAATAGCTTAAAAATCTTGTAATGATAAAACAGGGTGCTACATTATTTTTAAATGATCAATAATTATCATCGCCTTCAAGACAGTTTGGATATTTTTAGTTGTAAGAAAATTAGTATATTACATTACGAGTGTGGAAAGTGACATTTTTCACACGAGTGGGAAATATTGTCGCACGAGGCGCAAGCCGAGTGCGACTATCACACGAGTGTGGAAAATCACTTTTCACACAAGTGATGTACAACATTTTTCCTACGACCACAAAATGTCATCAAAAAATGTAAAACCAAGGTTATTATTACTATAATAAAATGTATTTAAAAAATAATCAACAATAATCGTATTTATTTAATTTTTATATTTTCTAAACAAAAAAAAAACTAAAAAATAAAAAATAAAAAAAACAAAAAAAAATTCTGCCCCACCAGGATTTGAACGCGGTCTCAAATGGCTTCATAAGTTCAATGTTCTAACCACCTGAGCTAATAGCCTTTGTGTTAATTTAATGATCTATTCGGTTATGTATTTAACCAGAATAAAGAGCAAACCTTATTTTAAAATTATTTTAATAATAATTGTTAAAGATAAAATATCTAGCATCTAATTTACAACAATTTCAATAATTTAACAATCATATCGATTTTAGTATTAATATGGACATTAAATAGATCAAAATAGAAATTAGGTGTTTGACATTTTGTGCCAGCTACTGCGGAAAGTAACATATTCGTACACGGGTGGAAAGTAAATTCTTATTTATATGCGTGTGATATAGGGTACTTTCCATAGGACTATATAGTGTGATATGTGTCACTTTCCTAAGTGGTCGTAGGAAATAGATATTTTAGAGCTATTACCATAGAAACTGAGTAGGTGTTAATCCTGCTTGGTAAGTTGATAATATATCTTCTGTGTGTATTTATTTTATTTTAATTTAATTTTTTAATTTTTTTAAATTTGTTTTATGCTCCTTTAAGAACTTAAATGTAACTGAATATTTTACCTTCACTTTTCCTTAAAAATAGGCTTTATTGTACTTCTTATTTGTTTTATGTTCAGTCATATCTGATGTTCTTAACTCGTTTGTGATGTATATCATTAGTATATTGTATTTGTTTTTAATTTATGTTCATGTTCATCCTACTCTGTAATTGCTTTTTAACTGTTGATTGGGTACTAAATAAATAAATAAAATTACGATTCTTTTCTCTATATGTTTACACAACAGATGTGGCATAGTTTGTGCAATATCCCTTGCTATTGTTAAATGTTATACGCCAATGTGTTCATATTAATTATTAAACAAGTTATTTTAGCTCACTGCACATAAAGGCGTATATCATTATTTTGTACGACTGCACCAAGGATCCTAGGTGTTACTAGGTCAAAGTTTCCCATAGTTGTTTTTTTTTTTAATATTTACTCTATATTCGATCTAGTATTCATAAATATAAATACCTAATAATTATTACAAATAATATTAATTTTAGTATCTCTGTTTGTTTCAGTATATGCGTGACAGTCGTGGTGCTGAACGTCCATTTCCGATCGCCCCAGACCCACGTGATGGCCCCTTGGGTCCGCAGGGTCTTCATTCACATACTTCCAAGGCTACTAGTAATGCGTAGACCCCATTATCAATTGGACAGCAGAAGGTATGAGTCCGAAACAACCTCGTATTATTGTTTGGTCTGTCTAAATTCTCCTCCTCACAAAACAAGAAAAAAAAACTATAAAAAAACGAGCGTGGAAAATGAAAGAGTAAGATCGAATATAAAGAAGTTTTAACGTATTTTTAAAAAACCTACTTCAAAAATCTTGCAGATGCCTTTGCAAATTGAAGAGTTTTATGATTTTCTTGTGGATCCCAAATTTATATGGGATCACCCCAAACAATAACAGAATCGAGCAACGTGGTAAATAATTATATAAATAATATAAATAATATACATAAAAAAATATTCCGACGAATTGAGAAATTCCTCCTTTTTTAACGTCTGCTAAAAATCGCCAAAAACAAAGAAGTTGCCCCCCTTTAACCTGGTTAGTTAGTGCCATCTGCGAATGTGGCTATTGTACCGTGCTCAAGGTTAGGTATGTCATTAGTGTATAGCAGGTAACATGACAAATGCTAGTGACTCTAGGAGTTCATCTTCAAATTGTTATACCTCGAATTCCAAAAGAGTTTGATTATTGGTTATAATGTGATTATATATATATATATATATATATATATATATATATATATGCGGCTCCAGGGATTATAATTCTTACAATCTAAAACGAGAATGGCTAATGGCAGTGCCTCCGGCCCCAGAAAATTTGACCTGAAGCTACTCTTGATGTATTATCTGATGTTCATTGACAGCTACCTAACATATCTTGAGTTAGACCCCTAACAGCTTACTTGTAGGCTAGTCCGATCTTCTATCATTACTTTTTTTAGAACCTGGAAAGGAATTTAGTACAGTTTCAGAGTTAAATGCCTTCGAGGATCTTAAGGTACTTTGCTTTCTTTAGCGTATTCAATAATTCGAAGCTCTCGTGTATTTTGTTGAATTCTATATTCCTGAACTGATTCCAACTTCTACCCAACCATTATGCTTCTCTATTCGTTAGAGTTGTTGTATTTATAAAACTGCGGACTGTTGACCATAAAAGCCTCGACGAATTTGTTAACATGTTATTTTTATGTATTATTCTTTTAAATTTCTCTAATGGATCTTTAACCCTACTATTTTGGCTTGTTATGAAATTTATTTACAATACCATACCTGTTCGGTGTTTGTTATACCTAGATCGTATTTCTTTAATTTTTTTTGGCAATATTAAATAAAATTCAACAGTCAATAATTCAATTTTTATGAAAATTGATTTCTAATAAATTAGTTACCGGATACATTGGTAATATTCGATATTTAATATTCATTCATTCTGATTTCAAATGGATTTTTCTCCAATAAAATTTTTAATTAAATCATTTACCGACTGCAAAGTGATAAATCTAGACCATACATATGAGAAAAATGGTGCTCATATAGCAGGGGCGGAAGTTGGAAAGGCTTTTGGTAGGTAGAGAGGGGGTAAACGTCAAACCACGTCGGACGGCTCCGATAATTTCGCGGTAATATTTACCTGCCAGTGTCGTTTCATAGAATAAGTATATTTATTAAACAAGTATTATAATATCCAAATCATAATTCTACAAAATTTCAACAGCTATTCACAATTTATTAACTATTTACCCGAAATTGTTATAAACATCTATAAATAATTTTGTACGCATATTTATCGCATCCACTTCTGTTAACTCCGCCGCAAAATTGTTAATTTATGTGCATAAAGGGGGAAAACTTCGAAAAGCCTTTCCAACTTCTGTCCCTGCTATACATACTCGTATATTTTCCATAAAAAAATGTATGCAACACCTTTTTCATGCGGGGTGCTTCATTATAATTTTACGAGAGCCGTTAACAAGGATATAGCCTATGGCCGGTTTGCGCTCTGAAGGTGAGTTTTACAAGCAGCGATTGTGGCGACGATCGCTGAGCGATAATCGCACAGCGATCATAGTGGGTTACTGCTAGGCGATCTTTACAGGTTTATCTCGTCGCGTGATCTTAGGGCAAATATGATCGCAGTTGTAAACGATTATTCAGCGCAGACCATCGAAATAGAATAAAGTAGAGAAGACATAAACACTATTTTGCGATATAACAGATGGACGGAAAAGTGTAATGAAAATGGCGACTTGAGTGATACTCTGATTTCTTTAAAATCAATAATTTTATATTCGAAGACTGACGGAATGAAAATGATTTTAATATACCATTTAAATGAAGCTATTTAACAAAAATGACATTTTTTTCATTAAAATTGACTATTTTGAGTTTGACATATTTGATGTAAAAGTGTATTATTCTAACTCAATGACGCAGACGGTTCTCGCGCACGTGCTGTTTGTTGTATGTGTTTTAGAACATTTCGTCGATCTAAAGAACACATATTGTAACTCCAAATTTAATGTTGTAAGGATCTGGGTACCAATTAAATCGCATTTTAGTCTTCTTTATTGAGCACAACATGGCTCCAACATGGCTCCAACACCCACCAAACTACAATAAATTCAAATTTAAAACAGAATTAAGGCTTTTAATTACACTTTCTAGAAGTTTAATTTGCGTTTGTCCAAAAATGCGTTTTTGGATATACAATAAGTGTGCTTTAGACCGACGATTTATGTACATAAATTCAGATAAAATCGTAAGGCACAAGCTGAACTTTTCAGCATTGAAAGACGAAAACTTATTGAAGCTGTGGCAAAACACCCTGCCATTTATAACCTGCAACACACTACGTACAAAGATTAGCATGCAAAGGACAATATATGGGTTGATATTGGAAAGTCAACTAAATAATATTCCGAGGAGTAAACTGTAGTGAAAGTAAGTGTATAAGGCAAGGGTATTTCGTGGAATTTACAAGACATTTAAGGTAATTTACGGTAAATTTGCGGGAATCGAGGAAATTACAAAACATTTGAGGGAATTTAATTGAAATTATCTTTTGTTTCTTTTTATTTGTATTTGTTTATTTTGTTTGTATGAAACTCACATTTAACGGCTATTAAGACACTTGTATTAATTACGACACTCGCCAAGGCTCATGCCGTAATTCTCAAACTCGTCTCCTAATAGCTATCATTAAATATTCGTTGCATAATATAATATTATTTTCTTACCTTAATGTTATAGCTAATTTCTCATCAGGTATGAGTGGGTACTTATTTCTGTTGCAAGAAAGCTTCTTAATGTCATCTCTTATCAAGCTGAGAATATAATGGAACTGGGATATTGAAAGTCTAAGAAATTCAGAAAATTTCTTGCCGTCTTCACGTAGATGTTGAAGGATCAATTTCCGAAAAAAATCCCTCTTCATTTCTAACTTTAAATATGAGACGATTTATGACTGTCGATTCTGTGCACATTTGAAACAATTCATCTAACACTTTATCAACCAGGAGGTATTTAAGTAGTAACTTCTTTTTTTTTTCTAACACTCATCTTCATTTAGCAAACTTAACAGGCTACTCCTTAGTACAACTCTGTGAACCGACTAACGACAATCCTGGTGTTATTTGTTAGTACGAAATAAACAACATTCACGAGTACCGTTATCAGGGAATATTTGCTAATAACTGCGATCCAATGTTGCCAGAATATATTTTTGTCCCAGATTCCTTAAAAATGTACCAGATTATATAAAGTGTACCTTATTTTTGGAAGTGTGATGGTTTGGTTTAGAAGAGCAAAAAAAGCGTTTGTCGAGAACGAACAAAAACAAGGGAATCCAACAAATATTATTATTTTACCCGTCAAATGGAAACGGGCTAAAAAAGAAAAAGTACTAGATTTTGCTTTGAGTGTACTAGAGTACCAGATTCTTAAATAATGTACTAGATCTAGTACAATTGTACTAGACTGGCAACACTGCTGCGATCATATTTGGTCTAGGACCGGTCGAATACACATATTCGCTATCGACGCTAGGCAACTATTGTTATGATCGCTCATAGTAAAACGAAGCTGAGCGACCATTACCCAGCGACCATAGCAAGAGTCGCTGGTTGCAAAACGTACTGTTTTAATATTATCCACCAGTATCTACGATCATCGCTCTGCGATTTTCATAATAGAAATTATATCTGCCTTATTTTCTTCGATCGACCTATTTGCGCTCTCTTGAAATATAATTTTAAATTCATACGTTTTATAACATTCCTTATTATTTTTTAAGTAGAATATTTACTTCTGCAATTAGAAGCGCGCGTTAATATTTAAATGAATCAGAAGTTAATAATATCCTATATTTATTTATATAAATTCATACCATAACATTTTCCAATAGAACTGAAAAATTTGTTTAAAAAACAAGATGATACTATAAGAAACATAATAAATCATCTTTCCTTCATACTTTTATCCAGACTTAGGACTGGCAAAGTTTATACATAAGGGGGCGTCCATTAATTACGTGAGGTGTTCAAGGGGGGGGAGGGGATAAAACTAAATCTTTCTAAATCTCACTTGGGGGGGAGGGGGGGTTTTCGTAAATCTCACGTAATTTTTTTTTCTAGTAGAAAACGGTGTAAAATTGCGTGAAAGTAAAGTTAAATTATAGTAAAAGTATTTCTAGAATAAAATATGGAAAAATCTTATAATTATGTTTATTTATTTTTATTAATTTCCATTTAAGTATTTATCATTTAATTTTATTAATTTGATTTTAAATAATTGCAACACTCTCAAACACTAGTCTTTGCTAGTCTTATATAAAAGTAATGGAACATATTGTGTTTTTGTTTTTTTTTTAATAATCCAACACATTTACACCCAAAACACGAATTTTGAAAAATCTCACGCGAGATTAGGGAAGGGGGGGAGGGAGTTAAGGAAAATCTTACCAAATCTCGCCAGGGGGGGAGGGGGAGTCAAAAAATCCTCAAAAATACCTCACGTAATTAATGGACGCCCCCTAATATAAACTTTGGTGGATTTAAAAGTTTTTATTTTTAATTTTTTTTTGTTTTTTAAGTTTTTAATTTTTTTTCATTTTTTACTAAAGAACTTTTTTCATTTACAGATTTAAGAAATAA